GTGGTCGTTTCCGTCGTCGTTGTCGCCGTGGTCGTCCTTCCTCCTCCTCCCTCGTCGTCGTCGTCGTCCGTCGTCGGCGTCTCGTCGTCGTCCCTCTATTTCGTCGTCGTCGTCGTCGTCGTCCTCTTCTCGTCGTCGTTTCCGTCGTCGTTGTCGCGTCGCCGTTCCTCCTCCTTCTTCGTCGTTCGCGTCGTCGCCGTCCTCCTTCCTCCCTCGTCGTTGTCGTCGTTGTCGTCGTTGTCGCCGTCGTCGTCCTCCCTCCTCCTTCGACGTCGTCTTCGTTGGCGACGTCGTCGTCGTCGTCTTCGTCGTCGTCGGCGTCGGCGTCGTCGTCATCTTCGTCGTCGTCGACGTCGGCGTCGTCGTCGTCGACGTCGTCGTCGTCGGCTTCGTTGACGTCTTCGTCGTCGTCGGTGTCGTCGTTGTCGTCGTCGTCGGCGTCGTCATCGTCATCGCCGTGGGTTTTGCAAACCAAGTTGCGGGTGGGTGGGTGGGATGTTTGCAAGAGCGCGGGATGTGTCAACTCGTTTGTTAAAATCAATTGCACCACATAGATTGCAACACACAAACACATTGCACCGCATAGATTGCACTACGTAGCTTGCACCACGTGGATTGCATCAGGTAGCCTTCACCACGTATACTCCATCATGTACATATCTTTTAAAAAAATCTATATATATATATATATATACTAGAACCATCGCGCGCGCTTCGCGCGCTCTCAGGTTCCAGTTGAAGTCGCTGCTCAGGTGCGATGCCCGCGACGATTCTTACCACGAAGGCGGCGGCGTGCACTGCAAGCCACGTGTTCCGGAAGCGCACTCCTGGAACATGGGAGCGGAGATCCCCGATCCTCATCGTTCGCATGCCATGGGATGCACAGAGACATACTAATACTATGTGTCCGCCTTGGAGGCGCGCGTCCGACCCGAACATATAGTATACCCATCTTGTAGTATATCGTTTCTCGAGCGGTGTGGCCAGAAAGCGCCCGCCACGACGCATATACTATAAGATTTCTCGGTTCGCGCGTCGCCCCTGGGGCGGCGACGAACACATAGTATAAGTATGTTGGGGGGACGCCGATGCCATGTTCCGGAGGAGCGTTCCCGGAGCATGGGGCGCCAGAAGCTCCCACGCTCTTCCCCCCTCCCAGACTATCCTGCCGAGGAACTCTTGGGCTGCGCAGGGCCAGTCTTGCGGGCTCCCTGGGGCTCTCTGGGCCCGCCTGGGGCTGTTTGGGAGCGGGCGGACCTGGAGGCGCGCTGGGCCCTATCGGAGCGCCGGAAAGCCGAAAAGACAAGAAGGCCAAGATCCTCCAATTCGTACGAAAAATTAACGATTTTGGCCTGTTGGGACCCTCTTGGGGGTGTTCCTGGAGGCGTCTTGAGCCATGTTTGAAGCCTCTTGGGAGCTACCTGGGGCCTCCTGGGGCTGTCTTGAGGCGGAAGCGCTGGGTTTTCCGGACACAGTCCGTCTCTTGGACACCTCTCGGGCCTGTTTTGGGGCACTCGTGGGCTGCCCTGGGCGCTTCTTGGGCCAGCCTTGGGCTCTCCGGGACCGCCTCGGGGCGGCCTTGGGCGCTTCTGGAGCTGTCTTGGGGCGGTCTTGGAGGCCTCCTGGGCCGCCTAAGCCGCAAAGGTCAGAAGGCCAAAACCCTTGCAAAACGATTGTAAGACCATAATTTGTTGGCCTGCTGGGGCCCTCGTGGGAGTGCTCTTGGAAGCGTTTGGAGCCATGTTGGAGGACTCTTGGGGGCTGCCTGGGGCCTCCAGGGTCACTAGTGAGGTGGGAGCCCTGGGTGTCTTGGGCCCTTCGTGGGCTTCTTTTGGAGCCTTCGTGGGCTGTCGTGGGCGTTTCTTGGGCAAGCATTGGGCTCTCTGGGGCCGCCTTGGGCTTGTCTTGGGGGCCTCTGGGGCTGCTGGGGGGCGGACCTGGAGACCTCCCAGGCCGTCGTGGAGCGTCGTACAACCGAAAAAACCAAAAGGCCAAAATCCCTCCGAAACCCTCGGAAAACCATCGATTTTGGCCTCCCAGGGCTCTCTGGGGAGTGTTCCTGGAAGCGTCCGGAGCCATGTTGGAGGGCTCCTGAAACCTCTACCACGTGTTTCGGCGACATGGGTTGACGGGGGGAACCATTCCTGGTGCTGAAACAGCACCAAGGTCCGTCCAGAGCTGCTCGGGAGATGCCCCAGGGCGGCTCTGGAGAGGCCCGGGGGGGGTCCCCCAATGACGACTCGAGGCACCTGGCCACAAGCCCCCGCCCCCGTACCCCGACACACACACACACACACACACACACACACACACATATATATATATAGATATATATATATATATATATATATATATATATATATATATATATATATATATATATATATATATATATATATTATATATATATATATAATACACATATACATATGCATATACATATACATTTACATATATATATATATATATATATATATACATACATACATACACAAATATATATATACCTACATATACGTATACATATACATATACACATACATATATATACACATATACATATACATATATAAATATACATATACATATAAATATAAATATACATATACATATGCATATACATATACATAAACACATACATATACATATACATATACAAATACATATACATATACATATACAAATACAAATACATACACATATACATATACATATACATACACACATACATACAAACAAATACATATACATATACATGGACATATGCAAATACATATACAATTATATATATACATATACATTCACATGTACGAATACACATCTATATATATATATATATCGGCACATAACTATACATATACATACACATATGAATAAACATGTACATATACATATACATATACATATGCATATACATATACATTTACATATGCATATGCATATACATAAACATGAACATAAACATAAACAAAAACATAAACATATACATATACATATACATATACCTATACATATACATATGTATATAGATATACATGGACACATACATATACATATACGTACGCATACACATATACATTTACATATACATGTACATATTCATATACATATGCATATACATATACATATACATATACATATACATATACATATACATATACATAAACATATACGTATACATATACGCACATATACATATGCATATACATATACATATACATAAACATATACATATACGTATACGTATACATATACATGTACATATACGTAAACATATACATATATACACACATATGCATATACATATACATACACACATATACATATGCATATACATGTACAAGTAGATTTGCATTTGCATATACATAAACATATACATGTACATATACATATACATACAGATACACACGAATGTACATATAAATGTAAATATATGCGTATGTGTGGGAGAACGCGTTCCACGGGCGCTCGCCTTGGGAGCATTCGGCGGCGCGTTTCGAACCGGGGGGTGGGCTCCCCCCCAACACTCGGTGCCGTCGATCAAAACCAAAGGGGACCCCCCTCCCACCAAAGACCCCCCTTCCCGAACCCCCCTCCCAAAGGGGGGGGGGTCAACCCCCCCCCTTTCGGCGCCGGCGCAGGCGCCGGCGCTGGCGGCCGCCAGCAGCGCCGACGGCGGGGACGCAGCGACGATGACCACCACTACCACCACCACCACCGCTTCCACCACCACCACCGCCTCAACCCACCACCACCACCACACCACCACCACCACCACAGCCACCACCACCACCACAACCACCACCACCACAACTCACCATCACCACAACCACCACAAACACCCACGACCACTACCACCACCACCACCACCACAATCTCTATCACACCACCACCACCCGCGCCACAACCACCACCACTACCAGCAACACAACCCACCACCACCACAAACCACAACACCACCACCACCACCACCAGCACCACCTCCACAAACCACCGCCACCACCACCACCACAACCACCACCACCAAACCACCACCACACCACCACTAAATCACCACCACCACATCCCACCAGCACCACCACCACCACAAACCACCACCACCACACCACCACCATCAAACCACCACCACCACCACCACCACCACCACCCACCACAACAAACCACCACACCACCAGCACCACCACAACCACCACCACCACCGCCACAACCACCACTACTACCAGCAGCACAACCCACCACCACCACCACAAACCACAACACCACCACCACCACCACCAGCACCACCTCCACAAACCACCGCCACCACCACAACCCACCACCACCACCAAACCACCACCACACCACCACCAAACCACCACCACCACAACCCACCAGCAGCACCACCACCACCACAAACCACCACCACACCACCGCCACAACCACCACCACCACCACCCACCACCACAACCACCACCACCACAACAAACCACCACACCACCACCACCACAACCACCACCACAACTACCACCACCACCACCAGAACCCACCACCACCACCACCATCGTCCTCGTCGACGCTCCCCGCCGCTGCCGCCCGCCGCCGCAGGCGCTGGCGCCGGCCCAGAAAAGGAAATCGTCGTCCCCGCCGCCGCCGCCAGCCGCCGCCAACGCAGGGGCTGGCCCGGAGGGGGTGGGGGGGCGGGGTCGAAACCCCCCCCCTCTTCCATCCAGGGGGGGGGGTCCGGTTCCAACCCCCCCCACCCTCCAAGCGACCACAGAACGCGCTCTTTCGTATGTATATGTCATGCCCGTACATACATACACACAATGCGAGTACGCGAAACCTTCTTTTTACTACGCTAGTTGCATTCCTGCCTGCACCATTCGAATCAAAGATGGCCAAGAGGAGGTGGAAAGAGGAGAAACGGCCAGACGGGAGACGAGCAGGAGAAAACCGCCATTGGTGCTGCAAGGTGGAAGGACTAGATGGCGTCAACGAATCGCATTGTGCTCCAGCCCCTCCTCTTGAACTGAATGTCGACGTGGTCCTTCTCCTCGACGTGGCCGAACGCCGCCGATGCCGCAACGATCGTGATGGCGACGGCGGCGATATCAAGCACAGCGCTGACCTGACCGAGGCGAACAGGTCTCGTTCTCAGCATCCTCCCCGTCCTCTTACTCCTCCTCATCATCACCCTCAGCATCGCCACCGTCACGAGCATCATCGCCATCGTCCTCATCATCATCCTCTCCATCATGGTCATCAGCATCATCGTCATCATCATCATCAACAACAACAACAGCAGCAACAACAACAACAACAACAACAACAACAACAACAATCATTTTACCCGAACGCTCAGTGTTCTCACCAGTGCCAGGGTTTTCATGCGACGCGAGACAATACCCCCACTTCGTGGGGGGGCAGTTCAAGCTCTACCAAATATCCAAACGACTCTTCGCGACCACCCAAACCCAGCTTCCCGCCCTATGACGTTGGGACACTTCACTTCGTGGCGTGCGGACGACCGTGGCTACTACACTGGCGTGGGGTACACACCCACAGAACTTGGTCACTTATTCGGGGCGCGCGTGTGCCCAGCATCCTGCAATTGTGACATACAATACATGACACAGACAGACAGAGAGAGAGACAGAGAGCAGACAGAGAGAGAGACAGAGAGAGCGGAGTTGGTCACATTTTTGGGGCAAGTTCCTGAGATCGTCATGTTTTTTGTTGGTCTTGCGCGCGCGAATGTCCACTTTACTTTTTTTTGCAAGGGAGTATTGAAATTTGATTATGTTAGAACAAGAAAAAGTAGCTCGCGCGAGCTCATGTAACATAAATGTTGAAAAACCATTGGTTTTGTGGGAGTCGGACAGCGCGCGCGGGATGAAATTTGGACATTTTTTTTTGAAAAACCATTGGGTTTTTGATGTTTTTATGTTGAAATCGTTACGAAACCTAAGGTTCTGGAAGGATTTCGTCTTGCGCGCGCGAATGTCCACTTTACCTTATTTTTTGCAAGGGATTATTGAAATTTGATTATGTTAGAACAAGAAAAAGTAGCTCGCGCGAGCTCATGTAACATAAATGTTGAAAAACCATTGGTTTTGTGGGATTCGGACAGCGCGCGCGGAAGGACATTTTGACAATTTTTTCTTAAAAAACCATTGGGTTTTTGATGTTTTTATGTTAAAATCGCTACGAAACCTAAGGTTTTGGAAGGATTTCGTCTTGCGCGCACGAATGTCCACTTTACCTTATTTTTTGCAAGGGATTCTTGCAATTTGATCAAGTAAGAACAAGAATTTTCATTTTCTATTGTTTTTTGCAAGGGAAAACGAGCGTCAACAAAAAACCGGATCCGGAGCTCATCCACTTTTCTGAAGCTTTCGCGAAAAAATGATGAAAATGTAGCTGCGGCCTAGGCGCGGCGCAGAGGTCGCGCACCAGGGGTCCCAACAATAATAATTCTTTAGAAGGAATAATATTCAACAACAACAACACCAACAACAACAACACCAACAACAACAACAACAACAACCACAACCACAACCACAACCACAACAACAACCACAACAACAACAACAACAAACACAACAACAAGCACAACAACAACAACAACAACAACAACAACAACAACAACAACAACAACAACAACAACAACAACATAATCATCATCAACAGCAATATCATCAGCATTACCGTTACATCACCATCGTCGTCGACGACGTCATTACCATCCTCAACATTGTTCTCGTCGCCGTCACCATCTGGGTTACAGCATCACCACAGTCAGCATCACCACCGTCATCGTCTCACGATCATCATCGCTCACAGGCCTACGAGGAAGGTCAAAACACAAGGAACGGACCCCGAGAACTTTCGAGCTCCTCCCAAAGGCAGAGCGGCCCTTCTTTCGCTGTGTACCCTCTATGCGCAAGCTTTTCGTCCGATCGCCAGCAGCCGGCACACGGAAGAGAGGTTCCCGATCCGACCTGACAGGAACGGAGGAGGAGAGAACGAGGAGGGAGGGGGGGGGGAGGAGGGAGTAAGGGGGAGGTGGAGAAGGGAGGCGGGAGGAGGGAGGCGGGAGGCGGGAGGCGGGAGGCGGGAGGCGCGAGGAAAAGGAGGAGGAGGAGGAGGAGGAGGAGGGAGGGTGGGGGGACGAGGACGAGGACGTAGGCGAAGGCGGGCGGAACCGCTGTGCTCGCAGCTCGCCCGCCCGTGGGTGGATCCTCTGGTCGTGCCGGCCGCGGTAGCTTGCGAACAGTGGAGCGCGCTCGGTGACCCTGGGGCAGACAGGGGCAGCGCTCGCTGCTGAGGCTGCCAGGGAGATGCCAGGGGAGCTCCACCAGAGTTGTGGACAGTGCGTGCAGAGGGCCGTCCCCCTCCTGGCGGCGCGCACAGGGGGGGGTAGGGGGAGGGGAGAAGGCTTCTTAGAAGCAGGGGTGCTTCCAGGAAGTCTTCCCCCCTCCCCCTGCCCCCCTCTGCGCGTGGCTGACCCTCGTCCCCCCTTCTGACGAACCATAAAAACTCCCGTAACCCTTCGGGAGGAAACCTAAGTTAGGAGGGCCGAGGACATCAGAGAGTTTTTCCTGCAGATGAGCCAGACCAAACCACCAATGATTCAATATGTATTATCCCCAATGCGAAGGCGGGGACCTGAGTGAGGCCACGTCTATCGTTTTATTAGGGTTAGGGTTTCTTGTATTCTCGATGATTTCTCCCTCGATGTTCGACAGAACGTGTGCTAGCGCCGACGTGTGCTTGTCCCCTGAGGTCCCTCCAAACGACGCAGGCGGCGCCATGGGGGCCGACGGGGTCTGCGCGCGGTCGGCGGAGTCAAACGGGGCAGCACGCACGCGCTTGGGTCAACACGCGTCCTGAAGATCATCGATTCCTCCTCCTACTCCCCCCTCCGCCTCCTCCTCCTCCTCCTCCTCCTCCTCCTCCTCCCTCCTCCTCCTCCTCCTCCTCCTCCTCCTCCTCCTCCGCCTCCTCCTCCTCCTCCGCCTCCTCCTTCTCCTCCTCCCTCTCCTCCTCCTCCTCCTCCTCCTCCCATCCACTCTTTCTGCTGCTCCTCCTCCTCCTCCCCAAACGGACCAGCATGCCGAAGATATCAAGCTCGCGGTTTTCCATGATCTTGTTCATGTAGGCTGTCGGAGAGGAGGGCGACGGCGGGGGGGGGGACTGATACGAAGATGACACGAGGAAGGGAGGCAAGAGGCAGGGGGCGGGAGGAAGGAGACCAGGAGGCAGGAAGCAAAACACAGGATCGAGGAGAGAGGGGACAAAGGAGAGCAGAGAGGACAGGAGGAGGCAGGGAGGGAGGGGGGGAAGGAGTCGGGAGCGACGATGCGAGACAGGCGAGAGAACGGAGCAGAGAGCAGAGGGAAGACAGGGGAGGGGGGCAGAGGGCGGACAGCAAAGAGCAGAAGACAGAAGAGAGAGCGGAGAGAAGCCCTTCAGGAAGAGTCTTAGGTCGGGCATGTCTCCCTACCACCGGATTTTCGACAAAAAATTCACAGAATGTTCAAAAGATGCCACACATATTCAAAGAATAGTGGACACATCGTCCACATGCGATCTTTCTTTTTACTATTTTTGAACATTCCTCCTGCAGAGGGACATGCCCGACTCGGGGGAAGACGGAGGAGAGGACAGAAAAGACAGCACGGCATGATCGGCCCGCGGGGTCCTGCAGCGCCGCCCGCGCTCCACCCTGACACAAACCCCAGGGTCCGAGCCCCGTTCCGAGTGTTCGACCGCCCTACACCCTGCGAAATGTTTAAGAAATCATGGGTTAAGAAATTCATAGTCTCAGAATTTCAATAAAAACCCAGAACTTCTATTCAAATCTTAGGAGTTACATTGAAACATTAAGAATAATCGAGACTCTGGCCGAAAACTCAAGTTTTCTTAAGCATCGCCTAAGGTGTACCCACAGCAGCAGCAGCAGCAGCAGCAGCAGCAGCAGCAGCACCGGTGCCGAAGGCCTCAGACCCCTCAGGAGCCCACAGAAGACGTACGCGCCCGACCACGTGCACGAACACGGCCCTGCCATCCCCGAGACCGGCCGCGTGATACGAGCGTTCGCGCGGCGCGCGCTCCCGAAGCCAGCGTGGATTCGTGTACGTGTACGTCCTTCTGTCGCTCCTGAAACCCAACAAACCCCTTGCAAATCTTCTTTGAGCGAATCCTGGACATCACACGCATAAACGATCCAGGAAAGCGTGGTCCATACTGCGCACCCATCGATGTAGGACATGGTGCCGTTCAGTTGGCAGCGAGAACTGGCTGATTTGAACATGGTATGGGAGGTCGCGCACCAGCGCGACTTTCGAAACGCGCTGGGATGTCCCCTTCAGTATGCGCCATCGCGGCCACATCAACTGTGCCAAACCAGCTGGTCGCCCTGCGCGCGAGCGTTCGCGCGCCAACGCGGCCACAGAGATGCGCTGGCAATTGCCAATCAGCACCCACAGTCGTTGTCGCATTGCTTCTGAGAATCCAGTTGTGGGCGGGAGGATGGGATGTTTGCGCAAGCAGTGTTATTGGCAAACACCGAATTGACAGAAATCATGTGAACCAGAGATGTAGCTTACACCTGAGAAGCGCATGGCCCGCTGTGACCAAAGTTTACTACGATCAATGAAAGAGACTCGAGGCTTCCCTCGCTTATGACCTTGCTGATTCTGTAGAGGCTGACATCGTTCATGTGTGACTGTGTTTTGTGACCCTCGATTGTTCTGTTGTAATTCCCCCCGGCAACCTCGTTAAATGGTTGGCCATACCTGCAACCACCTCGATGGTTGTTTGGCCATACCTGCAAGCACTTCGATGTATTTCGGGGGCAGCGCGCGGGACCTCGATGGTGTTTGGGGGGTGCATACAACAGCCTCGATGGCTGTTTCGGGGAAGTGCGCGGGATCTCGATGTTGTTTGGGGGTGGCACGCAGCGGCCTCGATGCATTTCGGGAAAATTTCGCAGGGCCTCGATGGTTGTACGCGCGCGCGTGTCTCTTTTTTATCGAACGCTGAGCATCAACGGCCACCGACAATCTGACTCCGAAATGCGGCCACCTTGAAAATTGGGCCGAATCTCATTCCCTCGGCCAGGTTTTTTGACATCATCTCTGATCTCATTGCAGAAGCTCTTCAGGTACCTCCGGAATGAATCGGGGCAAGATGGGAAGGGAGGGGAGGAGGAGAAGGAGGAGGCCAGGGAGGAAGAGGAGGAGGAGGAGGAGGAGGAAGAAGAGCAGGAGCAGGAGCAGGAGCAGGAGGAGGAGGAGGAGGAGCAAGAGGAGGAGGAGGAGGAGGAGGAGGAGGAGGAGAAGGAGGAGCGAGGAGGAGGAGGAGGAGCGAGGAGGAGGAGCGAGGAGCGAGGGGGAGGAGCGAGAAGCGAAGAGAGGAGGAGGAGGAGCGAGGAGGAGGAGCGAGGAGCGAGGAGGAGGAGCGAGAAGCGAGGAGGAGTAGGACCAGGAGCGAGGAGGACGAAGAGCAGGAGGAGGAGGAGGAGGAAGAGGAGGAGGGGGACGGCGAGGCGGCCAAGAGGGGGAAATGGAGGGAGCACGACATCGGGTTCCCCGCCAGGGCCATGCGGAAGAGGAGGATTCCTGCGGAATTCCGGCGGTTTCGCGAGTGGTTCCTCTGGAATTCGCGGGCGTATGTCGAGGGGATTCGTGGAAACTGCTCCTGGGACGAGAGGCGGTGAGGATTCCCCAGGGCATCCATGCTGGCTTTTGACTTACAGATGCTGGTGGATTCTTGATGGGTTCCTACAGGGCTCCGTACGCATCCCTTTCTTCAAAGATGTTTGATAAAGTCCGACGGGCTCGGAAAACCTGAAAAATTCCACAAGGGCCCCAGGGGGGGCCCTGAATCCTCCGGCCGTGGGAATCCGCGAGGAATCTTCCAGGAGCCCTTATGGATTTTCAAAAGCCTTCGGGCGCCCTTCGGGCGCCCTTCAGGCGCCCTTCAGGAATTGTTTGGGATCCTGTGACATCTCGTGGGCCCTCGAAGTTGCTACTCCGGATTTCAAGGGGGTCTCCTAGATCCATCGGGAGGATCTCAGGCGCGCCGCGCGGTTTCGGGGGGGAGGGGGGGGGGCTTAAAGCGCGCCGCGCGCGAAAATGGGGGGGGGGACTTAGGGTTAGGTCAGGCATGTCCTCCTACAGGCGGATTTTGGACAAAACCTAAAAAATAGCCAAAGAATGCTCAAAAAGAATGAGGAATGGTAGAAACACCGCCCACGTAATATTTTTGTTGCTATTTGTTGAATATTCCTCCTGTAGAGGGACAGGCCCCATTTAGACTCAGGGCGCGCCGCGCTTCGGGGGGGGAGAGGGGGCGCTGAAAGCGCGCCGCGCACGGGAGGCGGTCAACCACGCGCAGAGAAGGGTGGGGGAGGGGGGGGGGGGGCTTCTTAGAAGCACCCCTGCTTCTTAGAAGTCGCGGGCCTTGTCTGTAGATGTAAGGCCGGCGCCCTCTGAGAAGCAGCCTCCTTCTATGAAGCCCTCCCCCTCCCTCCACCCCCTCGTGCGCACCGCCGAGACAGCGCGGGAGGGGGGACGCACTCGGGGCGCGCCGCGCAGGGAGGGGGGGGCACTCCGGGCGCGCCGCGCAGACCCCGTCTGCCACTCGATGCCAACTTTTGACTCCGGTGTTGACATCAATGTTGGCATCAGTTTGGCCCTTGGCCTTCCCCTCGACGTTCAACCTGAACCTCAACGTCGACCTCGGTGTTCACCTCGGCCTTCCAGTCGGGCCTCACTTTTAGCCTCGGTGTTCACCTCGGAATCATAGTCGGGCCTCAATCCTGAGCTCGGTATTCACCTCGGCGACTCCGTCGGGCTTCAACTTGTATCTCCAGTGTAACCTCAACTTAGACCTCGCTATTTACCTCGGTGTCCTCGATTGTGTGAAAAAATGGCGTCAAACGCTCGTGCTTGTCTGAATGTTGACCTCGGCAGTCACCTCGGCGTCTTTGTCGGGCCTCAATTGTCACCTCGGTATTCACCTCGGCGTTGTTGTCGTGTATTAATTTTGACCTCAGCACAGATTTACCTCGGCGCAAATGCTGACTTCGGCGTTCGCCGATCGGCCCCAGCCCGAATCCACCCCAGCCCTGACTCTGACCCGAGTCCTGACCCCGGCCCGAGCCTGACCACCCTTCGCCCTACGCCCTAAGCTCTAGGCCATAGGCCCTGAGCGCGACACTAGCCACTCGCCGCTGGCAAGTGGCGGCCAGGCCCTCAGTCCTAGGCCCCAGGCGGAGGCCCTGGCCCTAGACCCCAGCCCTGGCCCTGAGTCCAGGGCATAGGCTAAGCCCTTGGACGTCGGCTTCTCCTCCCTCTCCTCCCAAGGCGAGGACCATCATGGGCCCATGCCCGTCCGGTGTTGATCATCCTAGGCTCCACCCCGCGGCAGTTACCATCATTGGGGCTGCTGGGGTCCTACTCCTATCGGCACACCAATCCACAATGCCGCCAATAGGCACTGGAGGGGGCCGA